AGAGTGGGAGGTGGGAGGCAGCTTCATGCAGCATATGTCCTTGTCCCCAACTTCCAGGTAAAACCACGCTGATCAAGGCTCTGACGGGAGACGCTGCCATCCAGCCCCGGGACCAGCTGTTTGCGACACTGGACGTTACGGCCCACGCGGGGTCACTGCCCTCCCGCATGACTGTCATCTACCTGGACACCATTGGCTTCCTCTCCCAGCTGCCGCACAGTCTCATCGAGTCCTTCTCCGCCACCCTGGAGGACGTGGCCCACTCGGTGAGTGTGCTGTGCTGCGTCCAGGACAACAGTGCCAGGGTGGGGCCAGGTCCCCTGAAACATCACAGTGGGGGCTAGGTCCCCTCACACGTGACATGGCAGGTCACACATGGCGTCCTGGAACAGCAAGGGTCATGAGGGAAAGACTAGCGAAATCTGAACACCTCGGGTTTTGTGTTCAGGACGTACCTGCGTTCACCACTAGGGGGAGACAAACGCCGGCAGTAAAGCTGGAGGCGAACAGCAGGAGCGGGCTGCCCGGCTCAGGGTTTTCTGAAAATCTAACTTTTTAAAAAACTTAAGTTCTTCCCAAAAAAGCGCATTACTAAATACCCCAAAATATAAAGGGTACCTTTTTCCAGCGGCCAGTTTCACGTGGCTTTTGTTTTCTGTTCTCCGAATTTTGCAGAAGGAACCCACTGTAAAATGTTTAAAATTAGTAAAAAATCAATCTTTAAAATGTGAACTAATAGCATCTTTTAAGATTTCGCAGAAGGGTGAACAGCCTAAAGCTTCCACTGAAGCACCTGCCGGCCCGGGTAGTTGGCCAGTATCGTGGACTGGGACATGGCGCAGAGAGCCCCCTCCACCCTAGGGTCCCAGCCACCCCACTCCCTACCCCTCACCCGCTCGGGGACTGCTGAGCCAGCGCCCACCGCCACCCATCCTGGTGGGCTGGGGCAGGTGACCTGCACGTCCCAGCCGGTGGCCCTTCCGGCCCTCAGGACGTGATCCTGCACGTGAGAGACGCGAGCCACCCCGAGAGCGAGCTGCAGAGCGCCAGTGTGATGTCGGCCCTGCGCGGCCTGCGCCTGCCCGCGCCGCTGCTGGACGGCGTGCTGGAGGTCCACAACAAGGCGGACCTGCTGCCCGGGTGAGCCGGCCCCGGCCTTCAGGGAGGGACGCGGCAGAGCGCCCTCAGCTGTCCGCCCGCTGTCCGCTAGGCTCCGCCTCCTCCAATTCACCAACGTGCCAGTGGGGCGGGGCCGGGGGCGGGGCGGGGGAGGG